TGCGTAACGATGCAGACAGCTACATGGGTGTTGCCAACACTATGTTTGGTAAGCTAATGTGTTATGCTTGGCCGTTATGGTGGAGAATGCATGCACATTTCATGGAGCAGGTACATGTGGAAGGAGTTGTTGACAGTCCTTCTATAAGGTCATCATCACAGTTATTAATCAGCACCAACATCTGGATAGGTCTTATCAGATTGGGTCATGATTTTAAGGGTGGGGGTTTTATCGGGAGTGAAGTAAGGGTTGTACAACAGTAGCTCGAAATTGCGGATGTCACTTACGAAGGGAATGTTCGATGATGTTTCCTGTTTTACACGCAGTATTAGAGGTGGCCTAGGGGTATTGAGTTCTTGTGATGCCTGGCCACATGAAAACATATTTCATGTAGCGTGAGAACCATGGGCATTGGTGGGTTTGGATCAATCAAATTTAATGTCACCAGAAATGATCCGGGGCATTGTCCTCTTGGCAGAGTTACGGTAGAAAGCATCAAAGCCGGTTTTTGCATAAATAATGAGGTACATTTATAAGAACTGTATCGATGCAGCCACGGCATTTAGTGGTGGCTTATTCGCTGTGTTTGACACAAAGTACCTCAAGTAAATCTGTCCTTCCTCAGGTGGCGGCATGAGGCCACCACCCATCCTTGTAAGAAATGAAGAGAACACTGCGTCATCCTGGCGAAACTCATGTACGAGTGGATTGTTGTCATATATGTTCCATGGGAGTTCCGTCTTCAGCTCTCTCTCTCACTTGCCTTGCATTTACTCATGTATGTTCGCTGTTATTGTATTTATTGAGACTTTTAACCACCTGTGGAAGATAACCGTGCTCTGTGAGATAACTAAATAACATGGACTGTGATATGCAGGTATGTGCCACATGTGAATAAGGGAAAGGGTTTAATGACGTATGGGGCAGGCATTTTGTTTATGTTTATAAGAAGAAAAAAAAACGAGGAAAGTGAACCCCATAACTGTCTGCATCAGGGTGCGACACCTCAACAGTAGCTCACAAGAGATGGGGGTGAGGAGGGATTAAAAGGATAGGAATAAAGGTGTAGTGAGAGAGAAAGAGAGATACGCTAAGTCAGCGAGCGTAGGACATGCCGAGGGGATAGGAGAGATAGGAAAGATGGAAACACGGTCACAGGAGTCCGAGGATGGAGCGCCACTTGCGAGAGCTCTTGTCGGCGTCAGTGTTATACATATGTAATGGCCAGTATTGCGTTTGTCATACTGCTACGGGGCGCCACAAATGAACATTCTAGAAAAGAGGACGATGTTTAGCGCGAGCTCGTGCAGACCGGGCTCCATATTGTATGCCTGCCTGTTTACCAAAGTAAAGGCATTTTTCAGACGCCTTCTCCCCGTAACAATACATTAATCCTCTACGATGTCAATTTTGGTACAACTTAGAGCCTAGACGTAGGCGGCAATATAAAGTGCAATAGGTAGAAACGGCCAAAGTGCCTTAGATTGACTGAGAAATGCTTCGCATTCAAAACTTTATTCTTGGGAGGCAGTTAGTACAACTATTAGAACAGATAACAGCATGGCGATTCAACGTGAAACTGCAAAGTACCGCCAACAACCTGACACAGCTGAAAATAAAACTAAAATAGCTACTTTATAAATGCTGTATGAAAGTATAGACCTTGAATCAGCAGGCAGTACTTTCAAACATGCCTTCAAGTGTCTCATGGTTGCAACTACAACCAAGTGTATAAAAAATGAAACGCCCTGCCACGCTACGCGTGCTGCTTGTGTGCCTACGTCTTTTTCGGTTATCTACACCAACATACGAAGCATTATTTCAAAACGAGACGCGATATCAAACCTTGTTTCATCGTCTGGGAGTAACCTGCTCATATTAACAGAAATGCGGCTTAATGCCGATGTTCTTGATGCGGTAATACTGGAAGACCTGCCAAATTTCGAACTATTTCGCAAAGATCGGCAGGGAAGCAGAGGTGGTGGTGTCCTCATTGCCATTAATTAAGAAAGAACTTTCATTTTGCACCGTTGATATATGTTCCGACCTGGACATTCTATGGATCCTATGTCGTTCAAAGCCGCAACTTGCTCTTGGAGTGTGCGATCGCCCCCCAAACAATTCTTCAGTTTTTTCTACGAAATTGAACAACATCTTAGGCCAGCTAGTCATAAAGTAGCCGAGCGCACTCCTTCTACTTGTCGGAGATTTTAATTACCCCAACATTGTTTGGTCAAACCCTCCACTAAGTACAGGAAATCTGGAATCTAAAGAATTCGTAAACGTCAGCTTAAACTTCAGCCTCATTCAATCGGTAACCGAGTCAACACGTGTCACGCTGGATAGTGCTAACATCCTTGATCTAGTATTGTCTTCAAGCCCTGAAACACTATCTTCCATCACCTACATTAAAGAAATAAGTGACCACAAAGTAATTCATGCCACTTTTTCTCTAACCCAGCCCGTGCGTCAGTCCCATAAGAAAATCATCCGTCTCTATCATAAAGGGAATTACTTAGCGATCAATAACGAACTTGAACAATTTAACGAGGCATACGAAGCAACATTTCAAGAGCACGACATTCATGAAAACTGGTCTTTTTTCAAAGAAAAAACAGCATATTTAACAGATAAAAACATTCCAACATTATCAATCAATGCTAACCGGCATAAACCATGGTTCACAAAAAACTTTAGAAAAACTTGAAAACAAGAAAAAGCGCATTTTTTGCCAGGCTAAACAAAACCCACAGCATGATTCATGGAAAAAGTACTACGAAACTGAACGTACATATCTTACCGCTATCCGGCAAAGCAAGTACACCTTCTTTCACTATGACCTGGCTTAGATGATAACTGAAAAACGCTAAGAAATTTTGGCGAACCATCAACCCACAGTCAACCCGCACTATATCTTTACCTAACGAACAGGGTGAAATGATATCATATAAAGACACCGTTAACATGTTTAACACCGCGTTTTCCTCTGATTTCACCAAAGAAACTGATGAACCATTACCTACGTTTCTTACACCTTTTGAGGCTGCAATGCCCCCTATCACCTTCTCGATAGACGGCATTTCAAACATAATTGCCAACATTAAACTGTCATCATCCGCAGGTTTCAATGAAATCACATCGAAGTTTCTGAAGAACACCAAATTAATTTCCGCGGCTATCTAACGCTGTTGTTTTCTCAGTCACTGTCATCTGGAAACCTACCAAAAGAGTGGAAAATGGGCAAGATCGTTCCAGTCTACAACTGCCGCCCCATTTCCATCACATCAGTGCCTTGTGAGATCATGGAGCATGTCATATACACTAATATAATTAGTTTTCTTGATTCTCAAAATTTTTTTTCACCATTCTCAGCATGGGTTCCGCAAGGGACTATCCTGCAAAACACAATTAGCTGCCTTTCTCCATGACCTGCACCTCAATCTAGATGCTGACACTCAAACTGATGTAATTTTTCTTGATTTCGTGAAAGCATTCGACAAAGTTGCTCATCAACGCTTAATACTAAAACTCTCCCGACTGAATCTAAACCCCGCAGTTCTAACATGGATTGAGCAGTTCCTCACTAACCGCCTGCAGTCAGTGCGCGTAAATAACAACAACTCTGAGCCTCTTTCAGTAGAATCTGGCGTCCCTCAGGGTTCGGTATTAGGCCCCCTACTCTTTCTAATGTATAATAATGACCTACCATTGCATGTTACTAGCAAAATCCGCATGTTTGCCGGCGATTGCGTGATTTATCGTTCAGTAATTAACATTACTGACCAGTCTGCTCTTCAACAGAACTTGCACAACATTAAGGACTGGTGTCAACGCTGGTTAATGATTTTAAATACTGGTAAATGCAAAACAATGTCGTTTTCTCGCAGTCCTAACCCGTTAAAATTCTAATATGAAATAGTAAACCAGCAACTAGAGATCGTATGCCAATATAAATACTTAGGTGTGACGATATCGAATAATCTCGACTGGTGTGCGCATGTGAACAACGTTATTACATGATCTACCAAAACATTTGGGTTTTTACGACGTCATTTACAAAGCGCTCCACAGCATGTCAAGTTACTAGCTTACAAAACACTAATACGACCCAAACTAGAATACGCATCAGCCATTTGGGATCCTCGCCAGATATTCCTCACAAACGCCCTTGAGGCTTTTCAGAATCGTGCCATTCGTTTCATTCATTCCGCCTTATCATGCGACATCAGCGTAACATCCTTGAAATCGGAATCCGGTTTACAAACACTTTCTAATCGACGCCACATTGCTAGTTTATCATCATTTCATAAATTCTACCACAGCGCGCTAAATCAAGCACCGTATATTTTGCCGCCATCAAGCATATCCTATCGCATTGGTCACCCCACGTTGCCCGTCCTCAAGATCGCAAAGGTCACCTTTGCATCTTCTTTTTTTCCTCGAGCAGCCAAGGACTGCAACGACCTTACACAAGAAATCGCTAACTCAAGCCCTACTGCCTTCATTGAAGCGATCACATCACATTATACTATATAATAAAAGTGTTCAACCTGTTGTATATATTGTAACCCACACCTTATGTAATACCCCCTGGTGGGGTCTTTAAGGAATAAAAGTGAAAATGAAACTACAGCGGCGATATTGCATTTAGCTGCTTTTGGCCTCGCTTTCTGCGCCTCTGGCAACAAACGCACAGCAACCAGAGTTATTCAATCATTTCAATTATGAAGGAAGAAAAATCCTTCCTCCATGTTATCCATATATTCAATCATATGAGTTGCGAAACTCCCCATAGGCTCCATCTTCCTCTATGAACAGCTCTATGTATCAAAATCCGCACACATCATGGAGAAAGGAAAAAAACTTCGTCCGCAGCACACATCGCTCCCCCCCCTCCCTCTCGGTAACAAGGAAGTCAACAGATTGCCGCGCCAACTGTTGATCACAATACTCACTATTAAACGCTTTACTTGTGTTGTAATGTTTGTGTTAGGTGACGCAGCAGTCAGCTAACTCTCAATAAACTGGTCGAACTGCATGTCCGGATTTTGGAACGCAGTTTCGCAACTGATATGAGTGAACAACTCTGCACAACGCTATCAACAAGTTTTACATCCAGATTCAGGCTCCAGCTAACTTTACCCAACTAGAGTGAGTGATTTTTGTTTGCTGTTCTGTATAGTGATATTTTTTGATCACGCTGGTTTTTAATTGCAAGTCCCTGCGACCTCTTGTATAATTAGAACTTATTGATAGGGCTTTTAGCATCATCATCATCATACTCTTTCTGTGACAGAACAAGAAAAAGGAAGTGCACAGCAACCAAACGCGTTACGTGTGACTGTAGTACCGCAGAACACCTACCGTAGTACGTTGTGGTTTCGCGTATCAACGCACCCGACGTTGGCGCAGTTAAGCGTGCTTCGGACACGTCGTCGCGGAACCCGATTCACCGTATTTCGTAGCGTTTATCGAATTTGCCCCGTCCGTGGTGCAAGCGCCCGAGAAGTCGCCCTAGTTGCCTCGTTCTCTCACCATGCCCAGGCGTAAGCGGGGTTCGGGGAGTGCTTCTTGGAGGAAACCGAGTGCCCTGGCGGTCTTGACGAAAAGTTACTTCTCCGGCTCCAGCATAAAACTACCGGACCCGATGCACGAGCGGCGAGGGCATACTGTGCGACGTGTTCCGAAACCTCTCCGTGTGGAACGAATACTTCTGGCAGGTGGGCCACGAGCTGAGGGAGGTGTCGCCGGGCGAACTCGGCCTCGTCGAAATGTACGGCGCGTACGTTTCCCTGGAGATGCCCGAACGGAAGCGGGAAGCGGCCACCCTGCTGTACCACCTGCTGACGCTGCACCGCTGCGTCGTTTCGGTCGAAGTGAACGGCTTCATATTCAGGGACCATCACAGGCTCATATGCGACGGCTTGCGTAAGAGCCCGAGCGTCAGGAAGCTCAAGCTGTCCCTGCTAACAGTGGCCGAGCACGCGGCGCACTGCTTCGCCTCGGCGCTGCCCTTCATGGACCATCTGCGGGAGCTCGTGATAAGCCAGGTTTGTTTCGATGACGTCTTCGTAGAGGGCGTCTGCGAGTTCCTGGCGAACACCCGGTCGCTAACGACTTTCGCCATGAGCCACACGCACGTCGAGAGCCAGTACACGCGCGCCATCCTTCGGGGACTTGAGCGAAACTCGACCATTACGTCGCTGGCGCTCAACACGCTCATAATGCATCCGGACACGTCCCCTAGCGGCGCAGTCTTTATCGAGTACCTGCGCGGGAACCGGGCCCTCCGGACCCTCACCATCTTCTCGCGTTACCTGAATGAGCACGCCAAGCTTCGTCAAATCATGGGGGCGCTCATGTCCAATGACACACTGTCAGAGCTGAACCTGCTCAATTTCTCACTAGACGATGAGAACATTAGTCTCATAACCACACTGCTTGCCAAGAGCCGGACCCTCAGGAGCTTCAACCTAGTCGACTGCAACTTCACCGATTCCCCATTGCAGCCCTGCATGCTACAGACGGAGAACTTTGGCAAAGTGTCCAGCAGGATCCACCCTTGGCTCGTGGCCCTAACCGAGAACAAGACGCTAGTTGAGTTGACTTTGAACCTGTCCTACTTTGACTCGGATGATTGCCGGTCGTTCATCAAGGTGCTCGCGTCCAGCACGAATCTGAAGCAGGTCACCGTCACCCAACTCCGAAGCGAGGATGTGGCCGCGATATGCCGGGCCATGCGTGAATCCAGCATGCGACAGCGCTTCTACCTTGGCACGTATCAGACCATCAAGGACCCTGTCGTGCTCACAGAGTGCAAGGAGATGACCTGTATCAGCTTTGACTCTACTGTGGTCAACGAGCTTGAACCACTGCACACCACGTTGACCTTGCTGCCCTCCTGCAGTCACGTGACGTCTGTTCGCCTCAGGGTGAACGAACGTTTTATATGCAGGGAAGTGAGCTCCCTGCTTGCAAAGTACATCACAAACACGGCAGTGCTGAGGGACCTGACATTGTCCTTTTTTTACGACGACACTGGGTTCATGGCTTTTGGGACTGAGCTTGCCTTGGTGAAAGCACTGTGTGCGAACAAGAGCATATGCAGGCTGACCATAAGGGGCCTCTGCTTCGTTGAGACAGAGATTCAAATGCTGGCGGAGATGTTGAAGTCCAGTCGGAGGATTTACGACCTTGCCTTCTACCCGGAAACCTATGAGTCAGCAGTATTGCTTCTCTCGAAGCTGTCACACGGCATCTGCAGCAACTACACCCTCCTCTACTTGCTGATGAGCCAGCGCCGAGAACTCGGCCAGGACTGGTTCACCATTGTGGACGTAAAGCGGCGCAATCTCGCGCTGGTGATGCGCGCTGCGAATTTCGTCATGGGGATGAGGCGTAAGTACTGCGCCGAAGCCGCTGAGCTGGTTCACTTCAACCCTGGATTGGTGGAGAAAGTTCGGCAACTTGCCCTTGTCGATGAGAACGAGGCCTTATCACGGATCAGGAAAAGTCTCAAGAGCTTTTCTGAGTTGGATGACTTCATGCGAATGGCAGGCGTTGTCAAGTACAGTGTGACTTGCCAGAGGCGCAACGATGGTCGGAAGCAGTTGGTTGACATTGGTCGCGACTGCTGGTTGTGTATACGGCAGTACCTAAAAGTGGGTGATGTCCTGGATCCACAGTAGGTGTGGCTTTGGTTCCTGTGTCGCAACTGTAATCTTCTTGGAGGTTATGCGGGCTCAAGGTGTGCCGTTCTTACCGCATGCCACTAGCACCATGCATTTTTCTCTCCATGCGTGGTATTTTCCCGTGAGAACTGCTGGAGGAGATGTTTGGAAACTTCTCTGCATTTGCTGCTGATGACAACGTAGGGTCCACACCTTTGAGAAGTCTCTTCAGCATTGGACATGTTCAAACCAGTTCCTAAATAGTCAATATATGACTGAATGGCCCTAATATAGATTAGTGAGCGTATGGGAGTGTTTGTGAGTCAGTGATGTCTTGAATGCGGTACTGTTTAGTGTGTGTGCGGTATTTACATGCAGTGCTAGCAGCTAGCTGCGATGGCTGTTTACTGCTGCACTGTTAATGGGGTTTGGCCTTACACATATGCCCAGATTAATGTGTGCCAGTATTATCACTGCCGGTCATATTTTGTGCCTCAACTATATTTTTTTTGTATTTGATTGGGTTGTTAAAGTATGTGGAGGGCACATAATTTTATAGAGTTATTTTGTAGCTGGTTTTGTTCAGAGTAAGGGTCTTTTTTCTTTATGCTGGCAAAGTGAGTTCTTTGCAAACTCTTTCTTGTATTGTTGGCATTTGCATCACAGTTCAGAATGACAATTGGCTTAACTCATGCAGCAACTTATGGTTTTCCCCTTCCTTTTCTGAAAGAAGCCGGCACTTTGAAATGCTGTTGCAGTTTTGTGGAACATCAAGGGTCGGTGCAGGACATAATGAAACTGTGTCTACCCTTCATTGTGGGAACAGAATAAATAGGCAGTCGCTGTGGTAGTGCGGCATGGAGACAGTCCAACTGTTTCTGGAATACTCTCCAAGATTTTCTGAAACATGAGGCATTTCCTTGGAGACTTCAGGCGGCGGCTTTCTGAACTTCTCAAGAAGTTGAGCACTCAACTACTACTCACAGCTTACTAAGGTTCACGTGTCAAGTGAAGATGTGACCCTAAATGAAAACTGACGCGAGTGAAATCATTTTCATCTTGAACTTCCTTACAGCACGACACTAGACGCGGACGAAAGGAAGGAAAACAACACGACACTGCATTGTTTCTTTTCTCTCCTTTTGCCGGTGTTTAGTGTTGCACTGTAATGTGTTTCGAGATCAGTCCTAACCTACTAGCCCTACTGGCTGTCTTGAGCAAACTGAAGCAAAGGATATTAATTTATTTTTGCCTAAAGAAATGTGAACACTTCTAAGCTGCAGGAAAAGGCTTCTAACAGCTTGACCAAACCGCAACAGCGATGGGCTGTTAGCACTCCGTCTCATGTACAGCTTCATGTAAGAAAAGAAAGAGCTCACTTCATAGCAAGAAAGAGAAGATTAGTCTAACCCACATTATGAGCATACAGCACAAACTGCTTCCTCAACAAAAAAAATTAAAACATGCGAGGCTGACGTGTCAAATGAGAGAACGAGAAACGAAACGTGCTTAGCACACGATGTGGGTGTTCACTTTTCTGCAGCCTTTTTGTTTGTAATAAAGATGAAAGAAATGGCCTTCTTTTGTTGAGTCACTTGAGGCACACAAGTCATGCATTCACTACATCTTCGCAGTGTTTGCATGAGTAAAAATACAAAAAGTGACATTCGCATCCATAAAACACACTATGAAGTTAACCTATGAAGTTAACCCTGTACTGGTCGCGAGTTTGCGACATACTGAAAGACTTCGACAAGTAAGTCAGGAAATGCGTGCCACTTTTGATGCAGGCTGCCAAGTGCTCACGGGGCATGTAGCTTTCAACAAGAAAAGTCTAGCGCCCTTTCGTCTAAGGTATTTAAGCTAGGACCAATTATTTTGGAGCTGATGGGGGAAAGCGCGTGCAACAGCTCTCACTTATTTGCTATTTCTCGCCTTAATGACGCAAGTTCTATCTTCAATTGTTTTGTTTATCAGGTGTGTACACACTTAAGATGTGGCACACAACATGTTACGTAGCTCTGAAGTACGTTTTTTTGTTGCGAGGTCCTCGCTTTTGTGATGTATGGAGAATTCGCGACATATGCAAAAATATGCATGGAAGCTTCAATTTAGATAATTTAACTGTGGAATCATATAAAGGTTGCTATTCTAAGCTGGAAAATGAAAATTTTTATTTTGCTTGGCAGTTTCATAATTCAGGCATTAAAAGGTTAATGATAACGAGCAAGAAGAGTCTCCAGCTGCAATGGCAACAAGTGGCGCGGTCGGACGCTTTTTTTGAAGTTTGCAGGTTCAGATCCTGCCGGTGGCATGTTATCTTTTTGTCCACTTCTCTTTTTTTCCCATTTACATTAATGTTACGTCTAATAACATCCCTATACTTCTCTTGGCATTATTAGCATTACTGTCTGTTGTTTCTCATGAATGTTGTGTCTAAGTAAGAAAACGAGTCGTTAAGTTTACGCTTTTTTTCCTTTGCACAATGAAACAGCCGCGCCAGATTGCTCTCATCTTGGAGCCATCCGAAGCAAATGCATAAGAGGACCTTACGAGTTTTCCGACGCGGTTGTTGTGTTTAGATGCCACCTTCATGATGATTCGGGGTAGCACCTTTAGTGTCACATGAAATGCAGTTTAGTTGCTCATGAAAAAAAAAATTTTCTTTGAAGAGGTACAGATCCGAAATTGGAAACAGAGATAACTTGCAAGATCAATTTATGTGTATGCACACATGTCACCTGAAAACTATCCGGTCACTATAGCCTAGAGATGACCTAAAAACTTCCTAGAATGCCTACTGAAGGTATAGTTGTGAAGGACCCACTAGACCATAATTCTTCTTTTTGCTAACAAATAAAGTACCCATTACGTGTTCAAAAGGTAACTTGTGTAGCTGCACATTTTATTCATTACTCCCAATCAAAAGTTTTTTTTTTTTTTTTTCCAAAGAAGTTTCAATCCCTCACTTGGCTCTGTGGTCAAACACATGGTTGCCATGCAGAAGGCCTTGATTTGATTGCCACTCGAACGTCTTTACTATTTATCGTCAAGGTAATACGAATTTTTCAGATGCAACCAACAACATGTAATTTGGAATTTATTACCTGCCGTGGAAGTCTACTTGTTACGGCGCTAGAGTGCTGATTCGAAAGTCGCGGGACTGAAATTCGGTCGCAGTGGCCACATTTCGATGGAGCAGAGGCCGTGTACTTAAATTGAGATGCACGTTGAACACCAGGTGGTCGAAATTTACCGAGCTCTCCATGGCAGCGTCCCTCGCGATCATCAGTTTTTTATGTAAAACCGTTAAGTTTATTTTCATTACCAGAGTTTTTGCAGCATGGGCTCTTTAACGCTACCATGGTAAAATTGGCTTTAGAGTGCAGCAACTCACGAGATCTATGTCAACTTGGGCCGCGTGTAAGCGAATTCCACCTGTCGTACATCTCTAGAGCTGTTTCGGCTCCTGGTATGGTCTTCGTCTTTTGTTATTTTTGGGTGATGAAGAATTCAGGGATGAAAGACGTTCTGCCACCTGTTGAGCCCACTGGTACGAGGGACTGGCCCGGTGTTTATAAGGTGCGCTGGCCACACTTTACCGCTCCTAGCTCTCTTTTTCTATTTTCTTTCTGTCATTTCAGGAACCATCGGTGCCAATCTACAAGCCTGGCCGGGGCTCACCTTCGTCGGCTAGCTGCTTCACTGAATGGGCATCACTTAAGTGTTTCCTCCGAAATGCAGTAAACAATTTGAAGAGCCAATCGGCTGAGCAAATCGGAGGCTTTCCCGAAAAGGGCTGTGCTGCGTAACTGGTCGTTGTCTTCACTTTTCAAAGGTGAGGCACTTTGGCATGACTCGCATACTACCCGAGTCATCAAATTTTCAATGCTTGAACGATTTGCTTGCCTAAACGAAATTCGCGTACGTTGAAGTTCGTGCTTTTGCGTCATCGCATCTCGCTTCTGCAAAGGGTGTCATTTGTGGTGTACCCACCTACATTACTCTTGAGGCCTCCTTGAAGGTGGTGTCTCCTGCTGGTGCTCTGTGAATTTACAGATGCAATAATTTGATGGGCGGGCACCAATTGAGAGCATTACTTTCTAGTGCTCACCACCGAACTGAAAGCACAGCCCTAGTCATTCCGTGGAGACGCACTGACACCTTGACCACTGCGATAGCATAACTGCTGCCGATTCGGATATAGAGGTGACGCTTGCAAGTCCTCAATGAGATGCCTTAAGTAAAATGGGTCACCCTCCCCATCAGGCTGTAATGTAGAAACTGCCAGGTGTTTATTATGCGATGGAAAGCTCTAATCTGCGTAAAATACCTACCCCACCACTATCGTGAGATGCAGATCCTGTGGAGCATAGGGAAATGCCTTTGTTTCCACGCAGTGTCTTCATGCATAATTAGAGAGTGTAATGTCGGGCTTGCAGCGGCTATATCAATGCAGGTTTCTTAAAGCAGCACTCTCTTCGGCAGTTGTTGCAGTGATTGATAAAGATGTCCCAGTAGTAATAGAACGTCTTTTCAACACGTTCGCTGAAGGTCCGACTGAGATGTCAGGCACCGTGTTAAACGGCCTCGTTCTTTCCTACCCTGTGGCAGCTGTTGCATTCTACAGTTAGCCTCAGCGCAGGGCCAACAGATCGAGCTATTAGGGTCAAAGATGTTTTCCCAGAGAAGCTCAGCAGCTCATTTACCAGTCGCTGGAAAGGTTGCGCCAAGTCACACCACGCTGAGTCACAGTAGAGCGGCTGGCCACATTTCAGATTCTCTAGTGAACCATCTGTACAGAGTGCTTGGCAGTGGCGTTACCAGGTAGAAGGGCGCCCATCGCAAATATGTTTCCGCACCTGTCAAACTGGTAATGACGGGGATTCTTTTTTTATTTTAAGTATGTTGTTTTGTGTGCGAAAAAGCCATTTGGCCGTTTTGGGCTAGTGAATCAGTGATCTCTTGATTGATTGATTGATTGATTGCTGGCCACAGTGGACTAGAGCCGTCTTCCACGTCGACTCATCGTAGTACTCACCAAAAGTCCTCAAGGTTAGAAAACATGTGACAGAAAAAATGGACCTTGTCACTTTACACAATGCGAGGTTTGTAAATTACATACAACCCACACAAAAGAAAATGACGAAAAAGGCATGTAAGTGGTTCTTGTCATTTTGGGTTTTAGTATCATCATAAAAATTGTTGTATTTTTTGCACACATCAAATCTGTATACTATGTTGACTGTTTTTTATCAATGCTAATGATGTGTTCAAAACAGCCGTTCTGGCAAATCTGTTTGTCGTGTATATTACAATGTCTTGTGCGGCGCCGCTGATAATTTTGATGATGAACAATGGTTGTAAAAAATGCGATCTTTATATTTGACATTGAACATGGTGCACGCACATTCAGAAGGAGCTGTTGCTCCCCGGTCATGCATTTTCGCCCTCGGCCACCATAGACCAGGCGTCTCAAACACGCTACCGCGGACCTCTCGCCAGTGAACTGTGGCCTTCATCGCACTTCTTTGTTTTTTTCCCTAATAGGTGCGGTCATGAGCTAAACAGACATGACTTGCCAGAGCGAATTTCTGTCTGGAGTGAACCCCTGCGGTCAGCATGTTTTGATAAATAACCGCAGAACAAACTCAATATTTCGGAATAGTCGTTCACATTTTAGTAATTTTCGAGGCACGTTTATGTTGTTTGAATGCCGGGGCCAAATAAACTTCAGAAATCGCACATATACGAGAGGGGAGAAGTGTATTTCAATTGGCAGTGTCGGGCATTTGAAACGTAGCCATTTTTAAGTGTGTTTTTGCCCCATACGGAGTCCCTAATGACAAGATGACTCTGATACTATCTCATGTGGTCAACCAGTTTATACGAGACATCAAACGCAAAATCTTGAGCTCTATTAGGAGAAACTAAAATGTCATTGTATCTTACCGCCTCAGGGAAGCCGACAGTCAATGTTCGTGACCACCTTGTCTCCCGAGGTAGTGGGCAAAACACGAGCGTATAGGACCTTTTGTGGTGTAACTTTTCTTCTTGGGCATCCGATACGCAGTCAGAAACCTTACAAATACACTAACTAGAAAAATAAAGTCGACGTGGAATGATCAGGGGCACTGAAGAATGCGAGCAGTTTTAGGTGGCTGTGAAAAGACAAGGGAACAAAGGAGATGAAGCGGAGACCGAAAATCTGTTACTCCATTTCTCTTGCCCCAGACTCAGTGCTGAAGGGAGGCCGTCACGAATCCGATGGCTCGCAGCGAATGAGAAAGCGCCATCACACGTCGCCACGCATTTAGTCGGCCGCTGCGCGGCTGCGGTATGGTGAAAGATAACATTTCACGATTGCTGCGATTGATGTGGTTGCTGGATACGACCCTTGCGGTGAAGACCTCAACATGAAAGCAGGATTGCACTTCAATGATTCTACATTGATGCCCCGTGCTCTCGCGGCGACAGCTCCTTTTGCTGCGAATGAAGCGTGGCTCTGTGGATTTTGTCGACGACATACGCGAGGCCTCCGAATGCTGTTTGAAACCCGGCTATTTGATTTTTCATTTTTAATATTGGCGTTTTCGTTATAGAGAACTCGAGCAGAGGCGCTGTGAAGAGAATCGCAGCATAGCAGGGAGAGTCACGAGGCCAGCTGCGTTTATATTGAAGCCATCCTGCATTCACCTTGCCACAGCTCCGTGAAGATGAACTTCAAATCTGCGCTATACCATATTTTTTCGAATCTAGGCCGATAGTTTTTAACAAGTTTTTTTGTGTCAAACTCCAGTGTCGGCTTAGTTTCAAGGGCTTTGAAAAGCGTGCTTTTTTTCATTAATAAAAGTGGTGAACATCTAGCATCACCTAGACAGTGATACAGCCGTTAGTAGTCAAGCCAACGCCTGGGTTAAGTGCACACAAGAGGCTACCATTTTGATCTTTGTGGCAAGGGTTGAAGCGAGCCGTTTGTCATTTCGAGTCACGCTTCGAGTGGTCTGCATGTGGCGTAGCTCAATGGCGCCAAACAGGCAATCTCATTATACAGTCGAGCTCCACTGCAACGAGCGCCGCTTCAGCGAAATTTCCGCTACAACGAAACATTCACGATTCTCCGTCAGCAGTCCATAGCAGTCAATGCATAAATATTGTCGCCACAAGAAACACTTTCTCTTCGATCGTCCCGCTTCAACGAAATTTTGCGATGCAATTCCAGGCTCAGATACTTACTTCTATGCAGTAAACCCAATCTTTAACATTTCGATGCATTTTCAGAGCCGAAAATGCGTCAACGAAGTCTAAAACACAGGTTGGCACCACCAGAAACCGCCGCTATATCGCCGCTGAAATTTTTTTTGTGCCCCGTCAGTTTCGTTGTAGCGGGGCTTGTCTGTAGTGTCGCTTATAAAAGGAAAGTTGTCCTAGCCGTGAACTCGTCGTCCAATGTTCAAGCCGGTAGGGTTTGGAGAGGACGAAAAAAATGTCACTGGAGGGGCTGTAGCATGAGACGACGTCCAGGAACTTTGATTGTGCGCTCTTTTAAGAAGTTTGGCGTAACCAATGCGCTTAATGGCACTGAGGATTGCATACTGTTCGAAGACAGCGATAAAGAGGTTAGCGACGAGGGAATCGGCCACGACGAGTCGGAATAAGCGCAGCGTCGGCAAGCGCGGCTTTTTTATGACGTAAATAACTAGAAGCAGTGCGAAAAAAATGACACGGGCGCACAGAATAGGACTAGCGGCTGGATGTTCCTAGAGTTATCTGCATCATGAACCAACTGCTTTGTTTCATTTTTATGTTCAATAAATGTTATCTTTTCGTGAACGCTGTCTTCGTTTTTTGATTTGGCCTACATTCGAGGTAATCTTTTTTTTTGCTGGGCTTTGCACTTTTGGGGGGTCGGCTTAGAATCGGGGTTAGCCCAGGCTCAAGTAAATACGGTAAAAGCGACTCGACAGAACGGTCGTGCAATGGAGTGATTGATTTTTCCAGCATGGATATGTGTTTTATAGCTGCTAATTGCTAGAAAAGGTGACATCGTGCTAGTCTTCTTTGGCATTATTTATTTTTTTTATTTACTTCAACAACCTCTCCTAGATATTTAAGAACGGTAATTAATGAAAAAAAATGTGCAGGAAAATGGCAGACGTGCACGCTCGCATGGGTGCTCTTTCAACAGATTTTTTTTATGCGATTCCAGCACTGTTTATAGTATGACATGGTTTGATCACATCAGTGCACCGCAGTCTGAGGATGGCGAGCTGATAAACGATAAAGTTAATCTGAAACAGTATTGTCACACTTCGAAAATGAAACTCTGGTGAGTGCAGCAGACTGCATATTTACCCTAAGATTCCCCCCTTTTATATTTCTTATGCTCCGACTATCTCTTTTGTGAGCTGAATTCTATTTCAGTCAACATTTACGCCATACAAAGGGAACACAGTCATACATAAGGAACACAGCCACATGGTTTTGCTGATTGCAATGCCTCACTCAAGAACTGCACAGCTACATTCTTCACTTGACTGCTCTCACATAAGTAATCGCCCAGGCAAAGGCTAGTTTGCCCGACATAGCTGCAACCACGTGATAGTTGTAAGCAACGAGCAAATGCACTTAGCACAACATACAAATAGCATGCGCTTGGAGATCTTGCACAGCTTCTTCAGCTTCATAGGTGCCATAGAGGGTACATGGATACCTATAGTCGCATGCATCTTACAATCCTTGAAGAGTCCCACCCGGAAAGCACTGATAGCCTCCATAACGAAAGAAATTGCACGCCTCGTAAGCTCAGCTATGTTTTCTGAGGCTGAGGTGCGCCCATCGGTGCATGCTTGTGTGCATCCCCCTTGGAGAAGGAAATTCCATGGGCTTCTAAAGTATTCAAGTGTAGATGTATCTCCATAGCCATAAAAAGGCTGTCAAACCGCTCAATTCGTGGGCAGCATCATTGTTGTCGTTCGATCCACTTTGGTTAGCATTACTTTTTGCACCATTACACTAACCGGCTTCATCACATTACTAAAGTAAGAATGCTTTAGTTTCTGAATCTTTACTGCAAAAGAACATTCGGGGGCAATTCTATTTGTCATTTTGATGCCTGTTGGTTTTGCAATGCGGTGGATTCGCAAGTCTGTGTGCCTGCACCCCAGCTTGAAAAATTGGCGACTTTCTTCTATGATCGTACCGCAGCATCTATGACTTACGAGTTTATATGAAAGCACAGTAACAACCGGAATATTAACGAGATGCATGTTATGGCTTGAACTATTCTAAAGCGTAACACAGTTTGTAAGACACCCTGAGAGCTAGACCATCACTAGGAGCACTGCTCCTTTATCCAAATCTATGAAAGTGTACACATTGTAGCCTTTCATGTTGCTATTATTTCGATTATCTTCTGGTTTAGAGGTGTTATCTTTGCATGAGTGGCTTATGTGCCTGTTTGGTTGGTGGTTTGCTGGGGCTCTGCTGTTTTTCGTCCAAGAGGTCACTAACTTTCTATTCGACCTCATGAACTTCTCCAGGGGTTATTTGAACTGTACTAGGGGTGTTGTTCTCTGTGAAATTGGGCTTTTCTTGCTTTTATTTGAAGAATTACTTACCTTTCAACCTTGGCTCCCCGCTGGCATGGCTAGTGTGAGTAGCTCATACACATAACGCAATGGCTGAATGATGACGGAGTATGTCTTGGGTGCCTTCCCGCAGTGGTTTATCTAATCCAGGAGAGTCGTCGTAATCAGGGGTGTTTTTTTAACTTAGTGAAAATACGCTAGCAAATATAGGTCATGGTATCATTAACTCGTATCACGAGGCTTCCCATGCCGAAGCTCCGCTGGCTAACACTTTCTGCAAGGCGAACATTTTCGAAGAAATTCTTGAAAAAAAAGTCTTGAAAAAAAATCTTGAAAAAAATTTGATTGCCAGAGGTTTCAACAGCAAACACCCTTTGTGGAGTCCGCAGTC